TTCCAGCTACATTGAAGATGTTGTTGACCTGTCTAACCGCCTTGATGTTGCAATGGCCGATGCCGATAAGATCAGGCATATCTTGAAAGGGATTGAAGACTGTTCGCTCCCTTTCAGATGCTGCTGGCAAAGAACCCATCCACAGTGTCTGAACTTGTCAGTCTTTGCCAAAGTTTTGATGAGCTGCGCAAACAACGCACAGCCACGCACCACTCTCATCCTACAGACGAATTCGAATGTTGGGATTGGTTGTTGCTCCTGACAACTCATCTCTGCTGCTACAGATTAAGGGTTTCGTTCGTGAAGAGGTCGCTCGCCAGCTTTTGCTGATGCCACTTGTCCACGACCATTCGAATTCCACGTTGGCGCCCCCTCTCCAAAACATCATCAGGGACCAGGTCGCCGAAGAAGTCTCGCCTTCGCTCCATCAGGCTCCGACTGCTGCTCCCCTGACGTACGCCGCAGTCGCTTCCAGGCCTGTAATGCAAGGTTACACAGCCCACGTAGTCCGCCTATTCGCCCGCCAGTATCGCAGCCTGCCTGCCCAGTCGTACAGTACGCACGAGCCAACGACCCTTGGTGCACACAAGACAACTGTCCTATTTGTTTTCATTGTGGCCTTGTTGGACATGTGGCCCATTACTGTCGCTTTCGTGCACCACCTATCTTCAACAGTGTGCGTCCACTATGGGTCACGTGTACGCCACGTCAACCCCGCCGCAGTTATTCAGACGACTACGAATCTGATCCTACTTCCCAGACCCCACCCTCCTCTCGCTGTTCACCTTCTCCTCACCGCCGCTCCCTTTCTCTCATGCACCGACGGCGGAGCCCTGTGCGGCAGGAAAACTAAGTAGCGCAATTCAGGAGGCGAAAACTTCGGTTCCGGTGAAATGCATAAGGCCTCAAATCTCTCCCCAAAACCTTATTGAAGTCACTATAGAAGGAACATAGACGCTAGTCCTTGTCGACACCGGCGATGTCTTTTCAGCAATTGATGCCCGCATTTGCGGCCATATCGAAAAAGTCACGACGCCTGTTTCTAAATTATCCCTTTGTACAGCCAACGCGCTGCATCGTCGAGCCATCCGGTGCCTGCACAGCCCATGTCGTCATCCAGGATCTTCTTTATGTGATCGAATTCATTGTGCTGCCATCTTGTTCTCACGACGTCATATTAGGGTGGGATTTCCTCTCTACACATCGTGCGATCATCACTTGCGCCCTGCTGGTGAACTCGAGTTCCCTATTTTCGACAGACGTCATCAATGACAAGGACACATGTCGCAAAATCACAGTTTGTGATGACACCATTGTGCCTGCCCAGTCTATTGTTCTTGTCTCCATCTCTTGTGACTCTGAAGGCGGCAACTCAGTGCTTTCGCACCGTCTGCACTTCTATTTCGCGGCCAATCACTGCCATTGCCATTTGCCGTTTTCGAGTTCATTCAGGCGCCTGTGTGATGTACATCACCAATCCATCGCCTGAGCCAATCACTTTGCGCCGCCGGGAAACTTTCGGCAAAGCCGAGCCGCTGGGGTCATCTTCGATATTCGACACCATGAACGACCCCACTGATATGGCCACCCTCGAGACATCAACTTTTCGGCCACTACCGCGATCTTTCACACCAGATTTAGCCAATGGCCTTACGACGACACAACGAGGCCAACTTCTTCGCTTGCTCGATGATTTCTCTTCCTCTTTTGACTGCTAAGCAAGTGCACTCGGGCGCACAACGACTGTTTCGCATACTATCGACACCGGAATCCATGCAGCCCATTCGACAGCGTCCCTACGGAGTATCGGCGAGTGAAAGGCGCCTTATTGATGACCAGGTGAATGGCGTGCTTAAACGCGGTGTCATTCAACCTTCCAACAGTCTCTGGGCCTTCCACCTGTCGTCCTTGTTCAGAAGAAAGGTTTCACAATACAATTTTGCGTCGATTATCGCCTGCTTAACAAGATTACCCAAAAGGATGTGTACCTGTTGCCATGAATTGATGACGCACTCGACTGCTTGCAAGGAGTGGAGTTCTTTTCTTCCTTGGATCTCCGCTCTGGCTACTGGCAGGTGCCCATGGCTGAGACTGACCGCTCGAAAACCGCGTTTGTAACACCAGATGGATTGTACGAATTCACTGTAATGCCATTTGGTCTCTATAACGCGCCTGCCACCTTTAAATGCATGTTGGACGGCATCTTACGTGGCTTGAAGTGGCACACTTGCCTCTGCTATTTAGATGATATTGTCGTCTTCGCGCCAGGTTTTTTGCCCCATCTACAACGGTTGCATCATGTTTTGACCTGTGTTCAAAATGTCGGTCTCCAGCTTAACTTGAAAAAGTGCCTATTCGCCGCTAGAAAACTAACTATACTAAGGCACGTCGTCTTCAAATAAGGAATTTTTCCTGATCCTACTAAACTTCGCACCGTATCCGAGTTCTTGAAGCCTACTAACATGAAAACACTGCGCACCTTCATTGGCCTATGCTCTTATTTTCGGCGCTTCGTTCGAAATTTTGATACTGTCACTGCACCTCTCAATGCACTTCTCCAAGGCGACAATGAACTATCTACCTGGCCAGAAGCTTGTGACGATGCATTTACGACACTTCGACGCCTGCTTACGTCTCCACAAGTTTCGCATCACTACGCTCCGAGCGCACGCACAGATATCACACTGATGCTAGTGGTGTCGGCCTTGGTGGTGTGCTCTCACAATGTGACGATGCTAACGCTGAATACGTGGTTGCATATGCCAGTCGTGTACTCACAAATCCTGAGACGAATTGCACCGTAACCAAAAAAGAGTGCCTGGCCATCATATGGGCTCTACATAAGTTTCGCCACTATCTTTACGGTCGTCCTTTTGACGTCGTAACAGATCACCACGCTCTGTGCTGGTTGTCAAACCTCAAGAACCCGTCAGGTCGCCTCACTCGGTGGGCCCTCGGACTTCAGGAGTACGACATCCGTGTTGTATATCGTTCTGGCCAACAACATTCTGATGCTGACACCCTGTCACGCTTCCCACTCATTGAGACGCCAACACATCTAGTCACAATCACGATATTTTGCCACTTGACATCTTGAACATGGCGTCGGAGCAACAAAATGACCCATGGATCGCCACAATTCTAAACTTTTTGTCAAGCCCCGTGAACACCTAGGCAGGCTTCACGAGTGCTACGCCGCCAGATGCAACATTACACTATCCACGATGGCCTTTTATACCGCCGTAACTACTACAATGATGGCCGCACATGGTTAGGTTATTGGTCGCGCTTTGCCATCTTCGTCGCGATCTGTGCTCCGCTTTCCACAATGACCCTCAGTGTGGCCACAGTGGCGTGTTCAAGACCTACACGCGCCTTCGCCTACGCTATTATTGGCGCAGAATGTACAGCTTCGTCTGCAAATACGTCCACTCATGCCTCGCTTGCCAACAATGCAAACCAGTCTCGCACCTCTCCACAGCACCTCTCCAGCCGCTTCCCTGCCCAGCCCACCCATTTGATCGCGCCGGCATTGACTTGTACAGGCCTCTCCCATGCTCTGGCGCTGGCAACCCCTGGATTGTCGTCGCCATGGATCACTTGACAAGATACGCCGAAACTGCTGCATCACCTGTCGCAACAGCCAAAGACGTTTCCTCGTTTATTCTACGCAACTTTGTTCTCCGCCATGCGCCCCTTGTGAATTGCTCAGTGATCGGGGCCGTGTATTTCTCTTAGACGTTTTGCAATCACTCCTATTCGAATGCAGAATTATCCACCGCACCACTACCGCATATCACCCACAGACAAACGGATTAACAAAACGATTTACCCGCACTCTATGACATGTTGTCGATGTACGTTGCGTCAGACCACTGCAATTGGGATCTTGTTCTTCGGTTTGTCACATTCGCCTGCAACACCGCCTCTAAAGCCACCACTGTATTCTCACCATTCTTCATGCTATACGGCCGTGAACCCACTAGCACCATTAATACGATTTTACCATATCGTCCAGACTGTGATGACTACCATCCTGTGTCTGTGGTGGCTCACCACACCAAGATATACCGACAACTGGCCCGTTTTTTCACCTACGACCAACAGTGTCACCAAAAACAGCGTCACGACTCCGACATTTCTCCTGACCATTTCACCGTCGACTCTCTCATGTGGCTTTGGGTCCCGCCAGTTGGTGCTCCCGGCCTTTCGTCTAAGCTTCTTCCGAAGTATCACGGACCCTACCGTGTGGTTGCACAGAGCTCTCCTGTTAATTATGTGGCTGAACTCGTTACGCCATCTTCAGACCTTCGTCTTCGGGGGTGAGAAACAGCCCACATTAACCGTCTCAAGCCATATTATGACCCTCTGATCTCTCTTTAGATCGCCAGGATAGCTACTTCTTGATACCGGGGGTTACCGAAGAAGATAGACACATGTGGAAGCACATTGCCATCGCCTGGCTTGCTCGGCTGTTCGCTCCCTGGCTACACTTAGCTTGCTGCTGCTGCTGCTATCTTCCCGGTTACTGTGTACATCAATAAACCCCCGTAACAGTGCTATTAAAAAATGACAAATGCACAATTGTTGACTATGATTATCCATAAAATTGCTATATTTGCTGGGAAAATGCAAATACAACCCAAAAAATATTGAAAAGCAACTGAAAAATTCTATAAGCAACTTCACAATAAAATGAGCCCAAATCCACTGATTATAAGTGGAACTGGCAACTCTTATATTTGTGCAATCTATGAAGTTGAAAAGAAGAACGTAGGAATTATTTCCATTCATTGTGCTTTGCTGACAATTTCATCAGTGACTATAGCAGAGTGCCCACTGCAAGTTTCATGAAACAAGGCTGATGTATTCTCAAAAATTTAAGTTATGAAAGTAGCTTCCGTCAACTTTTAGCACGCTTTCTGAACATTTACTTGTTTGTTTAGGCATATTTCTTTATAGGTGATCCTTGCTTGTTTTTTTTTTCCTCTTTAAAACAGGCACACACTGCAGAGTCAACGAAAAAGCCTGTTGGAACCACCACCAGACATCTTTGGAAGTAAATACTTAATGCTGTTTTTCTTAAGTTGTTTCAGGCTTTGAATTTGCACAAAGTTATCAGGGCTGGGCATGCATGAGATTGCACAAAAACACATTTTCATCTTTAATTTGATTGAAGTATATCTACATCATCTGGTGTAGCAGCAGATTATTCATGAGTGCAGTTCTATGACGCTTTGCTTTACTATACATATTACGACCTTGTAAGAACGATACAGCTTTTCATGTTTCCCTGTACAGCATTTGTCTTCTCTGAAATGGTGCTATTTTACTGATGTCAGTAGTATAAATTTCAGGATTCTAAAAGTCAGGAGGACACGATTTTTCATTTTAGGTGTCCAGAATCAAGTCCTTTCTCAACTATAATGCGTCTTTTGAGCGTGTGTTTAAATATTTGTATGCAATCTGTTGGAAGCTAGAGAGAACACGGCAAAATGAAATAGGGTAACATGGCGCTCCCAAATGCTTGTTTCATTGTGGACTAGTCCAAACCGACTTCCGTAGGGAAAGGGTTAAACACTTACAGTGTACTTACAATAGTGGTTTGCTACATACACCATCGAGTAGGTAGCTAAATGGTTTAATCATTATAGGGTACATCGTACTTGTGTGTTTTTAGGTGGTTATCATCACATTATTCATACTTTGAGGTGACTATCTTTAACGGTATCGCTCTTGTCACTGGCACCAACGTCGATATTGCCACGTTCCATTTCCCAAGTTTTTGTTATCGTCCCAAAACACCACACGATTCTCAGCGCAAACCGCGCCGGCAGTTTTCGACAAGGTTCCGGACTGTAGTAGATCATTTCGATAAGATCACGCCCACTGTGCGAACGGTACAGATTGTTCTGGAACCTACGCCACCGCCAGCGATAACGCTAGAACATTCGACGGCAAGAGTATAAATGCCGACGTGCTTCGCCGCTTGTCAGTTGTTGATCGAAGGCCGACGCTCCGTTCGCCGCTATCAGTCCGAGACTGCTATCTGTGCGAGACTGCTGCTGTAATTGGACTTTCCGTTTACCGGGCACAGGTTCGCCCAAATAAACAGTTAAATCCCAACACGAAGTCTCCTGTCTTCGGCCACGTCACGACCCCGTGACATCTGGTGGAGGTGCTGCTTCGTTCAAGTACCGGACGCCCCCGTCAAGCCGTGAACCCAGCCCACGTCGCGGAGAAGACACCGACGCCAACCAAGAGCAGCGAACAAGCCGCCGACAGCAAGGGCTACCACCGGAGTACGGGCTTCTACAAGACAAGGCGCGGAAGACCAAGGTCATGACCGCGACTGCAGCGACAATGACAACCGCAGCGTCCCAGCCCACGATGGTCATGCATCAACCCAGGGAACCACCAATTTTCCATGGGTCATCGTTCGAAGACCCGGAGTCCTGGCTAGAAATACACGACCGTGTGGCCGCCCTCAACCACTGGGACCATGACGAAAGGTGCGTCGTGTGTTGTTCTATTTGGAAGACACCGCAAGGACCTGGCTCGAAAATCGAGAGTCCAAGCTCCGAATGTGGGATGTTTTCTGCGGCGCATTCCTGCAAACGTTCGCGAGCGTCGCTCGCAAAGAGAGGGCCGCTGCTCTACTAGAGACCCGGGTTCAGCTACCAAATGAGAAGGTTGGAATTTTCACAGAGGAGATGACCCGCCTATTTCGTCACGCTGACCCAGACATGCCTGAGGAGAAGAAAGTTCGTTTCCTCATGCGAGGGGTCAAACAGGAGCTCTTCGCGGGACTAATGAGGAATCCACCGAACACCGTCCAAGAATTTGTATCCGAGGCGACCACCATCGAAAAAACCCTTGACATGCGCACCAGACAGTATAATCGTCGCCTGACTCCAGAATGCGCTGCTGCTCAAACCAGTGACTCCGAAAACCTGCGCGAAACGATCCGAGCGATCGTGCGGGAAGAGCTGCGCAAACTGTTGCCTTCGGCGCACCCTCAAGTGGATTCGATCGCCGACATTGTGCGAGAAGAAGTTCGGCAATCACTTCAAATTCCCCAAACACCGCTGCCCGAGCCAGAAACTATGAGCTACGCCGCTGCAGTGCGCCACAACGCTCCTCCCCGTCCACGCCAAAACGCCGCCCCGTCGCACTTCCGTCGCCAAACACCACCGCCACCACCACGCCCACCGACGACCTACCGTTCACCAGCGGGCCAGCGCAGTGCGCCGAGAAAAACCGACGTTTGGCGCACCCCTGACCACCGCCCACTGTGCTACCACTGCGGCGAGGCCGGGCACACTTACCGCCGTTGCCAGTACCGACAGATGGGACTGCGTGGATTCGCCGTCGATGCACCACGTCCGCAGCCAGGGGAACGGCCACGTGACATCGCCGACTACCTGACAGGAACTCAATGGAGACCCCGAAGTCCTTCCCGTTCGCCGTCGCCCAGCCGCCGCATGTCACCGCACCCCCGGCAGTACTCCGGCCCAATGCGGGGCCGGTCACCTAGCCCGTATCCGGGAAACTAAGGGCAGCAACCGGTGGAGGTGCGGTTGCTGTGCGACGAACTACCGAAGATCCTCCGACGACGACGACCCCGCGACGGAGCTTTCCGAACACAATGCCAACCAGGCAAAGCCCTGACGGCGAAAGCTCACTTACCGAAGGTGGCCTGACGACGCAACATGGAAGCAGCGGAACAAGCCGACGCAGCCGTGACCCGACGCCACGCCCTAACTGTAATGCGAGACGGCGAACTAGCGACCTCGACGTTCTTATCGACAGCCACAGTGTGACCGCTCTCGTCGATACTGGAGCCGACTATTCTGTCATCAGTGGGTCGTTCGCCGCGAAGCTAGAGAAAGTTAGGACAGCTTGGAAAGGCCCTGAAATCCGCACAGCCGGAGGTCATCTCGTAACGCCTGCAGGAATCTGCACAGCGAGAGTCACTAATAACGGCCGTATTTATTCTACAGACTTCGTAGTCCTACAGTGTTGCTCGAGAGATGTCATCCTTGGCATGGACTTCTTATGCCTCCATGGTGCTGTCATCAACCTAAAAACAAAGTCGATAACGTTATCCACAGAAGAAGCACTACCGCCGCGCACGCCGTCAGGACACCATGTCTTGAATGTGCTGGAAGAACAAGTCACCGTTCCGCCTCGCTCAAGCGTCATTATTTCAGTCGGCGCTCCTAAATCACCTGACTTGGAAGGCGTCATTGAAGGCAGTCAGCATCTGTTGGTCACCCGAAATATTTGCGTCGCGAGAGGAATTGCAGAGCTGCGGGGAGGCAAAGCAATGATTATGCTCACGAATTTCAGCAATGAGTACAAACATGTGAACAAAGGAACAACGGTCGCATACATCGAAGAAATTGTCGAAGTCACCAGTGCTTTCGCCCTCGCCGATTCTGCGGAACCTGCTCAGAGGAACCAAGCCCCTCCCATAGCTTTCGACGTCAATCCCAGACTTCCGAACGATAAGCAAGAACAGCTCAAGGCCCTGCTCCTGCAATACGAAGATTGCTTTTCGTCGTCATCGAAAATTCGGCAGACCCCAATCACGAAACATCGCATCATAACTGAAGAAAATGCCAGACCACTCCGTCAGAGTCCGTACAGGGTTTCGACGCGAGAACGTGAGGCCATGAAGAGACAAGTTGATGAAATGCTGCGGGATGACATTATCCAGCCGTCCAAGAGTCCATGGGCATCCCCCGTGGTGTTAGTGAAGAAAAAGGATGGGACCCTACGTTTCTGCGTCGATTATCGCCGCCTGAACAAGGTCGCCTTCAGGTCGCCTCGCACGGTGGAGCCTGAGACTTCAAGAATATGACATTACTGTCATTTACAAGTCCGGCAAAAAACACTCCGATGCCGACTGTCTCTCTCGTGCGCCTGTCGACCAACCGCTACCGGACGACCCAGATGACGACTTTTTCTTAGGAACGATAACTACCGACGACTTCGCTGAACGACAGAGGGCCGACCCGGAACTTAAGGCCCTAATAGAATACCTCGAAAGCAGGACCACCGAAGTCCCGAAGGTATTCAAGCGCGCACTTGCGTCGTTCTTTTTACAAAACGGTCTTCTACAAAAGAAAAACTTTTCACCGCTTCGAGCTAAGTACCTCCTTGTGGTGCCTTCAGCTCTGCGACCAAAACTCCTGCAGGCCCTGCACGACGATCCGACGGCAGGGCACCTCGGTGTGTCTCGCACGCTCGCGAGGATACAAGAAAGGTACTACTGGCCACGTCTTACCACCGACGTCACTCGTTATGTGAGAACATGCCAGGGCTGTCAGCGACGCAAGACACCGCCGACAAGGCCAGCGGGACTTCTGCAGCCAATTGATCCACCTTGCCGACCTTTCCAGCAGATTGGTATGGACCTACTGGGGCCGTTCCCGACGTCGGCTTTCGGAAACAAGTGGATCGTGGTAGCTACCGACTACCTCACCCGCTACGCCGAGACAAAAGCCCTGCCAAAAGGCAGTGCATCCGAGGTAGCTAAGTTCTTCGTCGAAAATATCGTCCTAAGTCACGGCGCCCCGGAGGTCCTTATCACCGACAGAGGAACGGCATTCACTGCCGACTTAACTCAAGCGATCTTGGCATACAGCCAAACAAACCACCGCCGGACGACAGCGTACCACCCACAGACCAACGGCCTCACCGAGCGGCTTAACAAGACGATCGCCGACATGCTGTCAATGTACGTCGATGTCGAACACAAGACGTGGGACGCATTCTTCCGTATGTGACCTTCGCATACAACACGGCGGTGCAGGAGACGACGCAGATATCTCCATACAAATTGGTCTACGGAAGGAGCCCAGCAACGACGCTCGATGCCATGTTACCCAACGTCACCGACGAAGAAAACCTCGATGTGAGCGAGTACCTTCAACGCGCCGAAGAAGCCCGACAACTTGCACGTCTCCGTATCAAGAATCAACAGACGACCGACAGCCACCGTTACAGCCTTCGACGACGCTTCGTGGAATACCAGCCCGGTGAACGTGTTTG